GTGTTTTCGTCCCCACACTCCCCCTCATTTACCACCTAACATTTGGCAACGTTGCACAACCGAGTCAAATATAATTACAACATCCAAAATGCAGATATTCGATACAAAAGACTTTGTAATTAACTACCTAAATGATGGAAAATCCATGCTACATACTTATAATTTTCATTTTCGTATTCCCAGTAAAAATTGTGACGTTAGACTACCCGCAACCCCCTGCCATATTCAATAATAACAAAGTAAGCCTATGCTTTCAACACCACTTCTGCAAATGCTCAATTATGTTTTTTGACATCGAGTTTGTCTCGATGTCGAAATGATGTCGAAATTATCGAAATCGGACGACCGAAAGTGAAAACCGGAAGTGCTACACGATATGGCCATTTCGAACTCACCATTACTTTGCTTCTATCTCAATTTTTATAAACCGAAAGTGTTTATTTTTCGATGAATCGTACAGATCTGAAATTCATATATTTGACACATTCATCAATGACAAATAATGCTGTCCATCCGGCATGTTGGATCCCACAAAAAAATATTAGACCCTCCTAACCTTTCATATTGCGATCGCCATCTATGCTTTTTCTTCGTCATCTCCTGATAATGCCAACTTGGATGTTTCTTTCTTGCATGTTGGCAGCCACATTATTTTCTTTAACACTGTATATTCCGCTCAATGTCCGCTGCCAAGTTTTTCTTTGAACGCTGCACAACCTGTATATCACGATGGTAGCCATGTTTTTTTCTTTAATGCTGGACGCCATGGTTTTTTTCCTTGAACGCTTCACACCCTGTACACCTCCATGGCAGTCATGTTTTTTTTCTTCAACGCAGGCAGCCATGTTTTTTTCTTTATTGCTGCACACACCGTTTACAGCATTTGATTGATGTGTTTTGAAACAACACCCTCTATTCCCTATGATTTCTCGACAAGCAACCGCCATGTTGTTTTCTTTTACGTTAGCAGCCATCTTTTTTTCTTTAACGCTGCACATACCCTGTATACCTCGATGGCAGCCATGTTTTTTCTTGAACTCTGCACAACCCATATAACCTCCATTTCTACGTAGGCCGTTCAGAGGTTCACGTTCTTCATTGCTTCTGTTAGTTGAATTTCCGGTGTCACAGAAATCTCTTTGGTGATCTATTTTATCGCCTCCTATTTTCTGTTGTAGTTTTCTGCATGTTTATAGATTTCTATTGCTTTCCGTACAAGCCGACTGTGGCATTCATGATCGGGTGCAAGTAGTTTCACATCTTCAAACAGTATCGTATCCTTCACTAAACGCGTGTTCCACTACTGCCGATTTTTCTATTTGAACTAATCTACAGTTTCTCCGATGTTCATTCAGCTGTACCCATGGATCTTCCAGTGGTACCGATATGAATTTTTCCGCAGGTGCATGGTATACGGTATACCCCCGCAGCTGATAGTGGATATCTTCTTTCGCAGATCTCAGGCTTTCATCTATTTTCCTGGTGGGCTTGAACACTGTTTTTATGTTATGCTTCCTAAGGAAGTTTTTATGTTATGCTTCCTAAGGAAGTTTTTATGTTATACTTCCTAAGCCTTTATCAATTTATTACTCGTGATAATATAATCATGATCGAGTGGAATAATGACCAAGAAAGTTTGTCATACTTTCTCTGTGAAAAAACATGTTTTAATCAATTTTCAGTTTATTAACGAAATAACAATCTCAAAATGTTCTGTTGCGATGGATCGCTGTCATCCAACATCGTCTCTTTCGATGTTGACGTTCTTTTTTCGTCACATTTCTTTTTAAAACATTAATACAATTTTGCAAACTCAAAATACAAAGCGCTGTCGCCACAGAAAATTTTAAATCCTCCATTATTGCTGGAGATTGGAGAATAATCCGGTCGGTGCGGTAGCTGTATGTAAAAGTCACTTGCTCCAAAGGCTGCTGTGGAATTTTTATGGACAGGACAACGGGCAGTGCGAGTAGCAGCGGCAGTGGCTGCATGTAAAGGCTGCAAAAATATGTAGGACACTTCCAACGAAAGGAATAAAGCAAAAACACAAGTTGCCTTTTATTTTAAACTAGTCATTCACTATTTTCGTTAGTGATGCAGGAGATGAAGCTCATATACGCGATGAACAGCTTAATGAAATGCAAATTCTCTGAAAATTAATTAGGTGATACTAGAAAATGAATATTTCGAAATAAAATCTCAAAATATTCATCTCTCCCAACTACTCACACCGTAGGTTCTGGTAAATGCCTGCCGTAAAACAACTACAACCCCGGCTAATACCATTTCAACCATTTTCCAAAATAGCTTCCTACATTCAAAGAAGGCAGGCAGTTGTGTGTACTTTCTGTCTATAAGAATGTGTATGTATTTATCCAGTTTTTGTGTTTCGGTCCCCGAACAATTAAACTGTTGGTTTACTCTTCTGCTCCTTCGGGTAAAATTATATTTGGAGAGATAATTTTACGAATGTAATCGAAGATGGATAAGCATTGAAAATGATTCATAATTCGACGCCAGCTTTCTCACTCGACACCACGAAACTGTGGAATGTTTTTATAAAAAAGAGGGCACGTGGTAAAGAAGTCAAGAAAATGAACTCTCCAGAAGAAAATGAACTCTCCAGTAAAGTATCTAAGCTATTTATTAGGGCTAAAAATTGAATTCAATGAAATTTGAACGTTCATTGATCCACGTGATTCAAAAACCATTAATGAACGCACTGTTCGACATTAGTTTGCAAAATTTCGTTGCGGAGATTTTAGTTCCGAGGATGAGCCCCGAAGTGGTCGACCAGGACGAGTATTTGCCACCATGGTGGAGACTAACCCGTCACAAACGGTGTGTGGGATGGCGGAAAAACTGAGCGTCAGTTCCCATGCGGTTTTTAATGGTTGAAATCTTATTGGTAAGGTTAAAAAAAAACGATTTGACCGATCGCTTTTGCGTAACTAAAACGATCCTTTTTTGGATCGGATCGTCACGTGTGATGAAAAGTGGAACCCAAAGACGCAAACTTAATAAAGCGAGTGTGCTCCAGACCACACGACTGAAGTAAACCTTCTTTAGTATATATAATATATACAGGATGACAATTTGAAAACATACAATGGCTTTATCTGAGCATCCAAATAAATTATCGCTGAAAACAACTACCGTAATAGAGAGGCGGAAACGAAATTATATAATAGCTGATTTGTTTTCACTTAACCCTCGCCCCCAGCCATCCCAACTTTATATTCATAAATGGCAAACCCCCACTTGTGATACTTTATCNCGTTTTATATAGTAGATAATATTTCCATTGATTTTAACTTTAATTTTTGTTTAAGAGAATATTGGACTATTACTCTAATCGAAGCAAAAAACTATATTGGAAAAAAGTTATTGTATGTACTGAAGTGTGTTCTTGATATTAACATTTCAAGATAAATTTATTTTAATATTATGATTAAAATTGAAATAAGTCATACTACGAAAGTTATATAATTAATACCCAACAAAAAACCTTGAAATGCATACCTGCTTATTCAACTATATCCGCGGCTAATACCACGGTGGATATTGAGTTGTATCCGACAGACATTTATGTAAGATATCTCACAGAGGTTAGTCTCGCAGATGTGTCTTGTCCATCCAGCAGCAGAACCATTCTGAAATCCTTCGAGTAGATCACCTACAGACCAGTTTCGAGTTATTACCTCTCATCAGTGCAGGAAAGATCCCATCCAAACAGCAAAGTGCCTGGTACTCTATTAGTTTCAACGCGGCTCAACTGCATGTATGAAACTTTCGTCACAAACAAAGCACGAGCGTAGTATTACCCAGGGAAGTAGTTGTTTAAGGAAAGGCATTCACCAGAACCTACAGAACGTACTAGAAATTTAATATTTCGAAATATTCATCTCTCCCAACTACCTACACAATAGGTTCTGGTAAATGCCTGTCTAACAACAACTACTTTCCCGGCTAATACCACGCGGGGCATATGATTCAATATCCAGAACCTTCCATGTTCCGTGTTCCATATTTCGAAGATTTCATTTCGATATATTTCTTTGTTGAAATTAATCGAGTCCCAGCACTTTGCTGTTTGGGTCGGATTTTTTCTGTTTTTTGTTGAGAGGTAATACCTCGAAAAAAGCCTGTAGATAGTTTCAGCATGGTCCTGTTGCTGGATGAACGACAAACATCTGCGAGACAAACCTCTTTCATAAATGTCTGTCGGATTTATCTCAATAAACAGCGTGGTATTAGCCGGAAAAGTAGTTGTTTACCGGCAGGCATTTACCAAAATCTACGGTGTAGCTGGTTGGGAAATATGACTATTTCGAGATTTTATTTCGAAATATTACGCATGTATTTATCTTCGATACAGTCTTCAGAAACGGTTTAATCTTTGTTAGAGTATTGGTACATGGAATGTTTCTTCCCCGCTTGGGGTTTTGTTTACGAGATGGAGGTGTAACTAATATTTAACTTAGACAAAGTTGAGCTGTGTTGAAATTAATCAAGTCCCAGGCAGTTTAATGTTTGGGTCAGATCTTTCATGCATTGATGAGTGTTAATACACTCATCACCTGCAGACCACTCAAAGTGGTCTGCAGGTGATCTTCTCGAATAATTTCAGCATGGTCCTGCTACTGAATGTATGAGAAACCTCTGTGAGACTAAACTCAGTGAGGTATCTTTTATAAATGTCTGTCGGATGTAACTAAATATACAGCGTGATATTAACTGGAAAAGTAGTTTTGTTTTCTGGCAGGCATTAACCAGAATCTACGGTGTAAGTAGTTGGAAGAGATGAAATTTCGAGTTTTTTTGTGCGTATGTATCTTTCCTCAATTCCTAAAATTAATATCAAACACGGTTTGATATTAATTTTAGGTAATGTTAGGCATGAATGAAATACATAATTAGACTGTATAAGCTTACTCATTTCTATTTTAATTCATTTATCTTCAGGAGAAACTTACTCATTAAGTTATTATGATTTTCAGACAAACAAACTGATTATGGATGGCAAATTATTTCTTCTGAGGAAACGAGCGGTGATGGTAAAACTAGAACCAGTTCAGTACTCGCAACAACAGCTGGAGTTGAGAAAATAGATGGTGGTAAAATTGACTTCGCAGCAAAAAATAAACAAATTGATGAGGTATATCAAGATGGCGATGATAAGAATTTTATCAAGTCTGTAGGCACACAATCCAACACATTAGTCAAACAAGAGGCGGTGGGAGGTGATGAAAATAGTAATTTCCAAACAAGTTCCACTAAAATGTCATCTGCATCTCGTGTAGTTAGTAAACAAAAGTCTTCATTTCAAGACATCCCAAGTAACATTGATGATATAAAAACGACTGTCACAAAAAAAAAATATAAAAATGATGTTCCAAGTGATCTGAAGAAGCATCCGGACTTCGTTGAAGGAAAAACGAAAGTAACCAAAGAAACGAAGACTCTTCCTGATGGTACAGTCGTAACTACTACAAGATATGAAATCAAAGGAGAAAATAAGAATCAATCAATACAAAACTATTCCTCAAATGTAAGCAATTCGATAGAGCAAACTTCGTCGTCTGTAATATCTTCAGAAACACATTCAACCAAATCCACTAATGATCAAATAGTGGAAGAGAAAATACTCGCTATCAAAGACAGACATGAAAATGAAGATATAAAATCTTCACACCAGAATAAAAAGAGTTCTGATCAACTAACAAAATCAATAAAGAGTCATACTGATACTCAGAGAGCATTCAGCAAGAATCGTGAAAATAACCTTGTCAAACCCAATGATGATGCGCGAGATTTACCTAACCAAAAACCTGAACTTCCAGATTATCAGATTCTGGAAAACATCAGCAACGTGAAAAATAACCAAGAATACGTGAGAGAGAGCAATAATATTTCACATGAAACCATAATAACAGAAAGCGAACGCGAACAGAAAAATCATGTCGAAAGTCCTAAAATGCAATATGTTCCTTCAAAAATTATTGATACAAATGTGAAAAAAAACGAAAAATCTTCAAAGACCATTTCTCATGAACTATCTTCACAATCTGGCGAGATAACACATGAAAAAATGATATCGGATCAGTTCTTAAATTTGGAATGTGGTGATGAAATGAAAACTGTAGATGAGAAATGCGAAGGGAAAAGTACAACAAAACCCATCAAAGAAACAACCATCAAAAAATATCCTTCAAATAATTATAGTGAAACGGAAACTCAAGATCGTCCAAAAATAGAACAAAACAAAATTATAAAAACACAATCGAGTGAGACTACCGAAACTAATGATTTATATTACGAAACCACATATAAACGTGAATATATGAACAGGAAAATAAGTGTTGAAGTAAGTCCAACTCATGACACATTCGCTCGTTCATTGAGATCTGTATCCCCTGAAAGAATGACTAGTCGAGAAAGTCGTGTGTCAAGCAATTCCTCTCTAAAGAGTAGTACTAGTCTAGGAAATCCCCTGAGATATTCTCCAGAACGTCAACCGAGAGACAGAAGTTGCAGTCCTAAAAAGTCTATGGATCGTTTATCTAATACCGAATCTGTTACCTGTTCCAAAACATGTCCTGAAAGGAAACCACTCAGAAAATCATCACCTACCAAGGAAACTGTAACAAACGGAAATTCAACAATAAGACATACAAAGGAGAACACATATGGACGTAATATGAGTGAACCAATATCTGTGAAAAAAAAATCTACCCCTGATATCAATACAAAGAATGATATAGATTCCAGGACACTTACTAGAAAAAAAAACAACTTGAGATCTAGATCTCCGTCACCTGCTTTTACCATTGCAAGTGAAATAGAATATTTCAAGAATGCTGATGATGTTATTACAGATTTGGACGAGGAAACAATAACTCAAGTCACTAATATTGTGAATGAGCACCAAATTCATAATTTCGATAAAAGACCAACAACTTTGGAAATAACAAAGAAAACAATAAAAATTACTGACAGATCGCCTACGTCGCCACTCACAGATATTATTTCACCGAAAAAATCACCCAATAAAGAAGTTGTTCGAAGAAATAGTCTGAGATCTCCAACTAAAGAAGCTTCAGATGACAAAACTTCAAAATACTCTCCTTCAGAATACCGTCCACTAGTGAGAACTGATACATATGAAGAGAGATGTCGCCAAATACTTGGTATTACTGACAATACAGAAAAGAGAAAAATCAGTTTAGAGAAATCTAAACGAGACGCATTAACTAAAACCGAACACATACAATCAATTGAAATAGGAAATTCTAGAAAAATCACGTCTTCTGAGAAGTCTCCTGTAAAACCAGATGATACATGGGGAAAAAAGAGCCCAACAAAACCAAAAGCTACAGAAAATATTACTGTAAATCGTCCAAGAAGTGTAAGTCCAAGTAAAACTACTACGAATGTATCGTCAGACATTATTCCGCAGACAAAGCAATACTCTATGAAATCTCCCAAAAAAACAACAATGAAGCCATACTCTAAAGAAAACAGCCCAACAAGAGTATTAGAAACTTTTTCCAGAGACTCTACCAAACCAGATTACCAGAAAAGATATGAAAAAGAACATCGTGAAAAATCTCTTCTGAAAAACAATGTAGAAGTCATGTTAAAACCCACGGAACAGGTAAACAAATTTGAAAAATCTCTGGAAGAGCAACCTAAAAAGCATCATTCTGAAAAGGATTGTAAAACCGCTAGTACAACTGAAAAATCTCCTTTAAAAGAATCCCTTTCCAGTAAAGAAGAAAAAAAAATATCCCAAATAACAAAATATCCATCTCAAATTGAAAAAAATCCACATAAACCATCATTGAACCCTTCTCCAGTTGAAGATATTCAGTCGAGAGAAGCACCTGAACTTTCAGAATATCCATCTCAAATTGAAAAAATTATTATCAAGGAGCCTTCAGAATCATATACCCGTGCAGACAAGAGGATTCCGGACAAAGATACCCAAAAAAATAATATTTCAGATCTACCCGAAATTGAAAAATTTACAGTAAATGGATCTTCAGAAATGATTGAAAATCCATCTCAAATAGAAACATTTTTATTGAAGGAACATCTTCAGTCATTTCCAATAAAGAAACCTCGCGAATCATCTCCAGGCAAAAAGATTTCAAAAAAAGAAACGTCTGAAATTCAGGAATACAGATCACAAGTTAAGAAACCATCGGAAGGTGAACGAGATGAATTTTACCACCCCTCCCGAAATCCAATGAATGAAGTTTCCAAAATTACAGAATATTCACAACGAATCCCTGTGAAAGATAAATCTAAAAAAAAAGCAACTGAAAATACAGCATCAGTATCCCAAGTAAACATATCCTCAATCAAAAAAACATATACAAAAAAAGAAACGATTGATTTACCTGAAAAAAAATATTCAAAAACGGGACACTATGTAGAACAAGAACCCAAATCAACAAATGTTTCTTCACTATTCAAAGATGAACCCAAGGGATATAAAAAAACTAAAACAAAGAATCAACCAGAAACAATTGAATACGATAATCAAGAAAATACCATAGAAAACATAAGCAAGGTCAAGGAACAAGCTACAGTCGAACCAATTTCCTATCTGGACGAACAAATAAAACAAAATAAATTGGCACACCCAACGAATTTTTCTTCCAAAAACTCCGAAGAACTAGAAACACTTTTCACGAAACAGAATATTCCTTATTTGGGAAATGGGATTGCGGTAGAGGAACCCTTGGTTACTAAAAAGTTTTTGAATCAACTTTGCCATGATGATGGAATTGAAAGAAATAATATAACCCAAAATATTTTTGAATCAACTTTGCCATGATGATGGAATTGAAAGAAATAATATAACCCAAAATATTATTCTAAATGTTAACGAAAATATTGAAAATCCCTATACGCAGAAACCACGTGATAAAAAAGTGACAACAAAAAAAATCATTGAAAAGGAACGTAACCTCCCAGTTGCAAATAATAATCATAAAAGCCCTCAAATGAAGATATCCTCAAATGAAAAACCAAGCACCAGGTCGGTGGATGAAAATAAAATCAGAATAGAAAAACATAAAACTGATCGAACCAATAAAACATATTTAGAGAAATCAATAGATTACACTGATAAATATTTTAAACCTCATGTGAAAGAAACTACCAAACCAAGATTGGATAAGCATTCAAAACCAACTGCTTCACCTGATTCCAAAATACCTAAAGACGCCCTCCATGTACAAAAGACATCTACTAAAACCAATACTGTCACCACAAAAACCATCAAGGTGAAACCAGAAATAAATGGAGAAGTAGGAAAAAAAATCAAAACCAAAGAATTTGTGAAGCCACTTACTGGAAAAACAAAATCAACAATTATTGTGCAGCCAAGTAACAAAATACCTAGTTCACAAAAGCCAGATCAGCATCCGAACACTTCCAATTCAAAATATATTACAACTGTGAAAAAAACCATTAACACACCAGAACAAAATGTGAGATCTAAGCCTAAATCATTCACCAAATCTATTGTTGATATCAAAAAAACCCGTGACACTCCAATTGTTAAACACCAATATGACGAATTTGCAACTAAGAGGAATGTAGTAACAACTACAATCTCCTTAACAACACAAACAAAACCCAATAGTGCAAAATCACATATTGAAAATACAATTATTACTCAAAAGAAAATCATAAAACCGTCAAAATCAGTACATTCAAGATCTGAGAAACAATCTGACGTGAATAATATTTCTGACTCAGAAGAACACTCTGTCATCGATAGCATGGAAGGTTCAATTATTGATGTTTCGAAAAAAATTGAAGAAAATGAAACAGACCATATTATAGATATGCTATCAACAAACAACAGTAACACTGAAGTAGTTTATCCAGAAGTTAATAGAGTTGGAAGAAAATATGAAAAAAAATGTATAACTACAAAGACGGTAATAATTAATAACAACGAATCTCAGGATAGAGAAATTATTGTTGATTTACAACGATCCACATCATCACGTGAACCAACTCCAGACAGACTGTGTCCCGTTCCACTATCTTCCGATGAAGAACCCATTGATATTCCTAGATATCCCGATGAAGTTATTGAACCTGACGATGGCATTTTCGAAAGAAAACCAAAGAAACTTTCAGATATTCCGATTATTGAATCGGAGGGTACTAAAGAATTCTCTCGATTCATTGAGGTAACTGATAGTAAATTAATTACTGATATTGATAAAGTTGAAGAGACGGATGATAGTTTATTGAGCGTTAACAAAAAGATCAGTAAATTTTCCGATAATGTTGAAAAAACTGAAAAGGAATATAAAAAGTTAGGTCCAGCACCCAAAGTCGAAAGACAAAAATTAGAAATCACTGAAGATTTAGAATCCGATGATTGTCTTCTTAGTGTTTCAGACAAAGTAACCAAGTTCATTTTAACTGCCGAAGACCTTATCACTCATAAGAAACCTCAGATTCGCCCAAAAAGTCCAAAGTATAGAAATAATCCAGACGACAAAATTGAATCGAATAGTGACCTTTTCCAAAATTCACCACATTCAAATCAGTTGACCAAAAATAGGCGTGAATCAGTACCCAAAACACCAAAAAAAGCTGACAGCAATAGAGAGATTTGTTCAAAGGATGATTATACATTGAGTGGTACAGATAAAGTTTCCAAAATAATTTCTACTGCAGAAAAAATGGCAAGTAAAAATGACGCTCCAGTTAGTTTAGACAGGATAGAAATTCAACCAAAACGTGACCCGGATGAAAAATTTCCTGAACGAAAAATGCCACTACGAGGTGTTCCCGATTCTGTTGATACGAGATTTATGGAGAAAACCAACATTGTCATTCTAAAAAACTTACCAACTGAAAAGCAAACTAAACAAGAAGCAAAAATGCCAAATATAGATAAAAAATGTCAAAACGCTGAAGGAAGAACCTCACCAACGAAAAAAAATCCATCTGATTGTGTTAACAAGACGCTTAGTCCTACCCGAAAACCTTCAACAGAGTGTCGGTCACCAATGAAGTATATTTCGAAAGATCACGTCGAAGTTTTCCCTACTAAAAACGAAGAGAAGGATTCTCCACCCGATACAATTGAAAGTACACCGACCAGACGCCCTTCAAATGAATACTCTAGCATCAAACAATCTAAGAACCAAGATGTCAAATTCTCTCGAAAGGAGGACGAACCAGCTGATAGTACGCCAAAATCAATTAGAAAACCATCGCGTGAGGAAGTTAAACCGATTCTGAGTACAACAGGTCGTATGAGGAGTACAGAAAGTATCAAGAAAGCTAAAGCTGTGTTCGAAAATATATCCACTAGTGAACAAGTCTTTAAACGAACTGGCGGTTCTACAAAGCCAATGGTATCCGACAAACGAAATGTTAATACACCAGTTGGTAACACTTTCATGAATAATACAAGACGATTGTCCCGAAAAAAACTGAATTATGATGACAACGATGAAGATGTACCCACTGAAACGAAATTAGTACTGATCAAAACCTCTACTAGATCTGACTCTCCTGAAAAAAAATTATCTAGATCTGCCTCTTCTGAGAAACCTGAAGATCGCGATACTTTGCCTGATCGTCGTGATCTCCCTCATTATATGCTTCCTTTAGATAGGAAGCTCAGTTTGCATGAGGAAGATAACAATGCAGTTATATTACACTCCTCTCCAACTCCGACATCAGTTGAAAATAAATCAAAAATTACATTTGGGGTGACCTTGAGAAACACCGAGCCGTGTAGAGTTGTTACCACCACGACCAGTACTGCAACTTCTCGTCAAAGAGAAAGTTCTAGATCGAACTCACCTGAAAAAACAAGAAATCGCGGATCATCTCCCGATCTCGGTGATACTCCTCATTATATGTCACCCTTAGACAGGAATCTTAGACTCCAAAGTCCACATGAAGAAAATTATTCTTCAGTTGAAACGTCAACACCTACGCTAGATGAAGAATCAAAAATTACAACATTTGGAGTAACCTTAAAAAGGACCGAACCTAGTAGGTCAATAACCACTACAACTAGTACTGTAACATTTCCTCGGAAGGAAACTTCGAGATCACAAAAAAAAACGAAAAATCGTGAATCATTCCCCGATCATGATGATATTCCCCATTATATGCTGCCGTTAGAAAGGAATCTCATACCTCAGAGTCCACACGAAGAAATAACATCAGACGGAGAAACGAAGAAATCCCAAACTGGTAAAACAGAAACTACTACAATTAACACCTCTTCTCGAAAAGATATTTCTAGATCTACCTCTCCCGATAAACCAAAAAACTTTGTACCACCCGCCGATCTTGATATTCCCCATTATATGCTTCCTTTAGACAGAACTATTAGGCCACATAGTCCACAGAGAGAAGGTAATGATGCAACTACATTTCCAACCTCGCCAACGCCTATCGAAAACGAGTCAAAAACTACAAAATTTGGAGTTACCCTTAAAAGAACCGATTCTGGAAGAGTAGTCACTACTAAAACCAATACTACAACTACCTCCCAGGAACAGAAAAAAATTGCAATCACTTCAGATAAACATATTACCGAAGAGGACATCGAAGATATATTTGAGCTTTTTGTGCTAGATGAACTGGTAAGTGATCAGTCTTATTAAATCACACTACATTTAGCAATTAGAAATCACTTGATTATTCAATCGTGAAGCTTGTTTTAGACAAAACTCTGAAGATTGTTCTAGCTTTCTTGAGTATGTTGTGGGTTCCTAAAGCCAGATCGGTGATTAACATACTTTGTATAATTTTTTCTACGTTTTTTCTATACGTTTTGGTTATCATTTTTTAATTAGCCGAAGTTGTTACAGATCGTAGGTGGATTCATATGCTTACATATTCATTCATTAATTTCATGTTGAAACCGTACATTTTGATTTTTTCATGAAGTATTTTGGCAACGATTGTTACTATACTACAAATTACTCTGACACTTAAATATTTTCCTCTTTTAGGATATCAATCTCTGCAAGCAATGGAAAATTTGAAGCATTTCATCAGTTCGGATTTCCATTGTCTACTATGATATAAATTGATTTGAAATACCCGAAAAAATCTATAAAAAAAAAAAAGATTAGCTGAAAAATAACAATTATATTAAGCAGAAAAAACTGAAATTACAATGTAATTTCAGTAATTTTAATTATATTCACCTAATCACAATGAATTTTTCAACCCAATAAACCCGGATGACGTTCGATTATCTTCGATTTTCCGTTGTGGTAAACGAGAAGTGTCGAAATTATTGATATTATTTATTTTCCGCCATCAGGCTGACATTCGTAGAGAAGTTTTCAGCCTCGAGTGAGACGAGTATCATCCAAGAAGAGGAAATTATGTTTCTGGTTACTGTAGTTATTAGTGGAGTGATGCTCTCTTTAATTCCATTCTGTTAGAGAGTTATCTCTTTCTTGGATTCCAAAACCACCAGCATTTTTTCACTCCTACCTCGTGTAAAAGAATAGTTATCTACATATGTTCTAATAAATGGTACACTCATCGAAAAATGTATTTCAATTCACTAAAGTCTCTAAAACATACATGGGGAGACCAGTGTTGGTTATTACAGATTCGAAACAAAACAGAAAATGTTTCTTGGGAATATATTTTAAAGTCAAACAAACTTTCGATAGTTTTTTCACTTATCAAAATACTGGAATGCAACTCAGACAATATCTACTTTAGTGAAATGAATCAAAATATGCGCTTTTAACAAATGTAACAACCGTTTGCGGGTTGGCGATGGTTGTTACACATCCGGCGTAAGTAGTTACAATTTTATGCTTTAATCGCAGGTGTCATCACACTGTATCCATTTTTCATGTGGTTTGGATTTTGAATAGAAATCACAACCAAATGCATGTTATGTGAGCAGTGTGGTGGCAGTAAACCTTTCTCTGCATAAACTTATACCTTGCAATGCGAGCTGTGATTATCCAAAATCATGAGAATATGATTTTCTTCAAAATATCTTGTGTATTCAACAGACAGTAAAACAAACATAAAACTCGTTTTCTGTCATTCAAGTTGAGGTCCATCGTTCTGAAGATCCCCTTTCTGCTGACATCATCAAACTCACTCGTTTGGCGCTCTCTCTGGATATTATTATGTTTGAACACTGCACAGATATGATGCCACTTTCAGGAATATTATAATATTCTGATATTCAATTTTATATCTTAATAAAACCTCCCGCAGAAGATCCAAATTTTTTTTAATATCTGTTAACAATTAGTTTCACGGCCAAAACCGAATTGCTAACTCTGAATGACGTTTGAAAAATCCACTAAGCCAATTTTGGAGAGCCATAGTGTTCGTCTTCCATATTGGCTTGTTTTATTGAACATTTTGTGAGCTCTTCTTTCATCCTTTCAGAAAAAAAATGTTCCTGTTCCTAACATAATCAATATGAAAAACAGAGAAAAATGTATCTGCTATTGCAAATGCGTTGTTAATGAGATAATTCAAAAATTGTTTCAGAAACATAATCTTTGATGTAAATTATGATTTAAAAAAAGTCGTTTCTTAATAATTTTTTTTCCTACTAACACATATGTTATTCAACAAATTTTTTTTACCACTTGTAATTAATATTCAAGTTTATTAGCCTAAGCATCTTACAAACTGAAAATGAACAAGAAATTGTGTTAGTTTCAATTTAAGTTTTTGTTTTATTAATAATTGTTTACATTCATCAAAAGTTTTCTTGATACCCTAGATAACTATTTTATGAGAACGTTTTTTAGATGATGGCTCATAATCTTCAGTATTATATTGCCTTCTTCATTTATTTTAACGTTTTCCCGCGAAGCTTCAACGGGTTCTGTAACAAACAGTGAATACTCAATTCCAGCAGTATGATCTCCATTCTCATTTTTAAATTTGTCATCTTCGATTTGTTACCTCTTTGCCATTTTCACAAATATAACCTTTGCAATGTTTGCAAAGAGACGAACATGGGCTTTCTGGCCTTTTGCCATTCACATCTGCTGGAACAGTTTTTAATGCAATTGCAGAGGACTTATTTCAACAGATTTTCAGGGGATAATTGTCCTCCGTACTGGTAAAAAGGTTCCGCCCCCGCCGGTCGCTTTTTACCCTACTTCGCAGTAACGGCCGGCTGGCCTCCCAGATCTGAGTCCCAGGGATTTTGGGATCCATTTCGGACCTGAGTATGGCGTGACGTTGTAGTACCTCGGCTAGCTCTTCTGTCGGTCGTGGTTGGTATACATTGTTGTTTATGGACTGGTCCCGTCATGAAGCCACCCCCAAGTCTCCCTCGACTTCAGGGTGACCCCCTGACCTACCTCCACCCCTTTGTTTTTCCACTAGGGCGTCAGTTCCAAGTTCGTTCTGGGCAAACGGCGCGCCTGTGCACTGAATGTGGACTTCCCAGGGACCGCTAAGCGTTTCCCGCTGGGAACATCGCGACGCCTAGCGTCGGACGACCTGTCCTGCTGCTGCTGCATCGACTCTTAGTTGGGTTTGATAATGGCCTTGTCATTTCGCTACTTATTAATGACACAGGATGACTGTACATCCTGTGAATATTAACCCTTGGTGAGTCTGCTACATAAGTGGCAACACCTCCTGAATGTTTTATCTCGAAACATTGCAATCGGGGAGAATTCTCAAATCTAGAGGCAGACATCCCTCCGGTTGTCACCGCCGATAAAAATCCTCGATTTCTGCGTTTTACTCCGCATACGATGCAAAACGCTGTTATCTCGTTGTCGGAGACAATCTCATCATAGTAGATCGCGCTCGCATTTGGTGAAGGTTCACCTGGATTTCGCTTCGAGTTCTGGAGTTCACTACGTCCTGTAGATGATGTCCAGCTTTTTGACTTCGTAGTAACATCTCCTGACGTTCCCTCGCGAAAGTTTCCTGGTCCAGTCTTCTGGTGTTCGGAGTGTTTAAAGTCTTGAAACGGTTTAGCACAATTAAACTATTTCGCGGTGTGTTTTTGCGACTTCAGGACTCTGTTCTTCGTGACATATCGAGTTCTCTAGCTACTCGACTTGCTGGAAAACCACCAATGCCCAGAGTTTATCGCTCTGCAACCAAGGGAGCGGTACTGATGTCCTCGTACGCAAGATAGCTACGCTGAATAGAATATGGCCTCAGACTGGCTGATTCTACTGGAGTTCTCGGAATACTGTTTCCCATGAAAACAGATTTCTGGTGGATTTCGCGTCGAATCGTCGGAATCGCACTCAGGCGGCTAAACGTGTCTGACGGGAAGTTTGTTTGACCGAAGCTTGTGATTTCACTGGTATATTTTCTGCAAGCTGCGCTCGCGTGTGTTTTACCCTAGTCTGCACTTCGATTTCAAGTTTTCCCTAATATGGCTCTGACGAAGAAATAGTCCGAGAGAAGGATTTACGGAAATCTAATATTTTGAGTTCACTCTTGGATCACGAAACTACTTTCCAATCCCAGGCCTACAGGGTGAACTGAGCTAGTTGTTTGGGAACAAGGAAACTAACGGTGGAACTGCACCCTAAGATGAAGGCCGCTCTCAGGATAAGATGGAAAGGTATCGAAGCACAGTAGATGGTCCTAACGGTTAGGTTGAGTCGTTCGCCCGAAGGACGAACCCTCTCAACCCTCTCAAATTCAAGCCCGATATGCCTCTGCTTCGTTGACACCGTTTGGTTTTCACAGGGTACCTGAGCCTGAGCAATTTTAGTAGGGACCTGCTCTTCTTTTGCACGGTTTGGTATACTGCTTGCTGTCCTGATAGTGGAGTGCCAAAAGGAACCTGAACAGTCCAAAGTATGATTAGCAACAGGGTATACCGCTTCCTGGCACAGAATCCTCTCGCTGAAGCCTCGACTGCGTCCTACTCTCGGTTTATCACGTCTCTGGAATTCGCCTTCGACCCGCCTTCTCGGTAATACGTTCCTTGGCGTCTTGACGAAAGTAGTTCCTGATAATAAAGCTTCGACTCACAAATTTCAGACGGCAAGTCTGTTGTTGGAAAATCTTCACTTAGTTCGCGCAAGCACTCCAATACTCAGCGAAACAATATATTCCAATGTATAACTGCCATCGCAGTTCTCTTCAAAGGTTATCTATTTGAAAAATTTCTGAATTTAGAATATTTCGAAGTTATCTTCAAATTTTCAGGATCGACCAGTACTAGTTGACGTTCAAAAAGCAAGTAACTAACTATTTTTTTTTCCAAAAGTCACCTTGGTTTAAACAGGTTGGAGCCTGGCTCCCTTACCCTTTCGACTGGCCAACTAACATTTCTCGGACGTTCGCATTTCCTAACATCACCTCAACTAATCAACGGTCGCTAAAATCGTACAAATCGTGTACACCAAATTCCGATGTCTGCAATCGAAAAAAACTAATTTAATATGGATTTGTCAACGTTTGCGACCATGTTTTCATGCAGACGCTGGTCTTCAAATTACACTCACTGTTCTCCTTAATTTCTTTGATGTCCACTTGCCGCTGTTTGCATCTCTTTTCGTTCATGCGTCGTCTTGCTCCTTCGATGTGCGTCGTACGATGAACGGACACAAACGGGCTTCGGCCTTGCTTGGCTATCTTCGGAAAATCGCGAAAATTCAAAATTTTCGTTTTCCTCGATTTCATTTAAAACTCGATGTCCTGAGACAAATTTTCAGAATCAAAATTCTGAGAACCACGTGATAAATAACATGTTCAAGCACGTTTCACAAAATAGATATTACCTATCATCATCCCATTTTTCATGAACATCTATCTAATTAAGTTTAAAGGCCGTCGTACCCAAATGAAGATAGTAACACTGAAAATCTCGGCCGCGAAAGCCTTAACCAATTCATCTAATTAAATTTTATCAATGAGATATCTCCTTGTGATGCACTGTTTGGAACCTTCGGTGTAGTAATGAATATTACTGGAGTTTTATCTCAACACCAAACCGTTATTTCAACACTTCGACAATTGTTTCGATCAAGGAAAAGATTAATTTTCTTCTTGAAAATGAACACTGGGTGATCGAAACACGTGTCAAGGTGTTACATAAGATATCTCCCCTTATCATCTTTGAAACTTGCTTAGGCTAATAAACTTAAGGAAACATTTTATTGTTAACTTATTTTTATTCATAGTTCAACATTCGAATGACCCCTGAGTTTTAAGCTGAAAAGCATTCGTAAACTAAACTAATGAGTATGGGTAATGGACAGGCGCGAAACTCACCGGACTTGAAATGCTGCTGCCAGATATTTCTTAGAAATAAAAAAGCTTGAAACAACCTACCCCTGTAACAGCCAGCCTCAGCCTCTGTTCTTCTTTTTTATTATTTCATGGATATCGAAATATAATTAAAAAAAGTTGTGTAATAGTGCTAATATGAATTATTTACCAATTTTCAGCACGAAAAAGTTGAGGGCTATGAACTTCGCAGAAAAATACGTGCTCAAATACGTTTGGTGAAAAAGTTGATATCAGAAAACAGTTTGACTATTCATATAGCGAGAAGAAAGGCCGCAAATAATAATACTGAACGAAAAACAAGTCCCGTCAAACCAAACCATCCGGTCGAATCAAGAGGAACCGATATATATAAGATTTCAGATCATGAGACAAAAAATGTTAGGAGAGCCAGTCTAGACAGAAAACCGAGTCCAAACAGAAAACACAAAGATATAAAACTGCTTACCAGTAGTACACTGGATAGCAAACATGTTGAAGAAACATCTCAATCCTCAGATACATACAACGAACGACGTGTATCAGCAGATTATACGACAAAAGTTCAGAGAAGTGAAAGTCCGGAAATGAAATCACGAAAATTCAGTCCAAAAAGAAAATTATCTGATAAAAAGCTACCTCATACCGAGATTGTAGACAAAAAACAAATGGAAAGTTCGTTATATTCATATAGTGAGGAACGTACTTCCACAGAGGACTACACGACGAAAGTTCAAAGGATTAAAAGTCCGGAAACGAAACCACGAAATATCGAAATGGATATTTCGAGTTTAGATGAAAAAATGAATAATAAAGCTACACCAGTGGATCAAAAACCACAGGTTAGGAAACCTGAACAGACTGTTACAAAACCCTCAGATGATAAGCCGGAATGGGTTAGACAAAGAAATTTGAAAAAAGTTAACGGAACGACTCCCTCGACCGTCACAAAACAGGCTACAACGATAAAAACAACTAGGAAAGAGAAAATTACTACTTCGCCTGTTAAGGAAGTTGAAGTTACGGATCTGATAACTTCCAGCTATGGAGTGGGACCAACGGATGAAAATGGAACACCATTGTTTGGCTTGCGGGCTTTGAGAGCGCAGAACAAAACTGAAACAACGAAAGGTAAACAAATTTTTTTTTTACTTTATGAACCAAATTTCAAATTTGCGCTTGGTAGCAATAACAGGCAGATTTTGATCAGATCTGCTCTAGAAAAGTGAGTTATCTGATTTTTTCGATTTAATTAAATTCTATAACTGAATTTGACAATCCAACGTAACTATTTTATTCTAACTTGAAATATAAAGGCTTGTCAAAATTGTCGCCTCATTTTCTGTAACAAATAAAGAAGTGTCAGGTAAAAAATACATTTTTAAATGAGAAACGTTAGGAAAAGTCATTTTGTGGAAATTATTTGTTGAGTTTCCCTTCATGAACAGTTAAAAAGAAAGATTATATCTGAAACAACTACAGATGATGTGGTGCTGCAGGTTTTTCCGGGTTGTCCTGCAGCCGAAAAAGCAAATGCGCCACTGGAATCAATGAAGTCGCCCCGAAGCGCCAATTAATTTTTATTGTTGTTTTTATTTTTATCGTTGTTTTAGTAAATGTTATGTTAGCTTTCTCCTACGTAAATTGTACACCATTTCTAATGAAAACAGTTTCAAACATTTATGAAAGACGCTACAGCGACCATAAGGGACCTTGATAGTTTTCCTCGATAAAGCAGCTGCCTAGGAGGCAGATTTACTCAGTTTAGTTTTCGACACTGAACGAGTTAATCAAAACTCTGTCACCGAGTTGGAACCCGATCACCAAGTGCAGTTGATGCGAGGCGCCTGAGAGCCTGATGTACTTGTTGTCGACATGTCCAGAATATGCAGTCTCAGCCTATATCCATCGACATAATGTAGTCCTAAACGTGCTTCATTTTCATCTACGACACTGCTACGGTATTGACAAGACACTGGAATTGCTCTACGCTTCTTGGGATATCGAATCCGTTGTGGGAAATGAGAAGTGCCGAATTTATCGGAACTTTCATTCCTGTTTGTTTGAAGGTGGTTGACAATGTTTCGTGGTGTATTTCATCAGTTCGGACTTCCATTGTCTGATATAATATTAATTGATTTGAAATCTCTGAAAAAAAATTAAAAAGATTAACCGAAAATAAAAATTTTATTAAACAAAAAAAACTGAAATTACAAAAAAATAACAAACAACCAACAACCAAAAAATAAAGAAACATCATGACGTAACTTGGTTTGGAACCTTTCAATTTTTATTTTTCATTTTTTGTTAATAATATTTTTTAATTTTTTAATTTTCATCTTTTGTGAATATTACATTTTTTTTGTTGTTGCTTGTATTTTATTTCTTTGTAATTTCACTTTCTTTGTTTAATGAAATTGTTATTTTCGGTTAATCTTGTTAATTTTTTTCAGGGATTTCAAATCAATTTATATTATATTAGACAATGGAAGTACGAACTGATGAAATACTTTCATTCCTCATCATACAGGCTAATAAGCCTGATTAGTTATTTCCAAACAACAGAGCAAGACGATATTCGTCGTGGAGTTTTAAGATTCAGATGAGACGAATATCGTACAAAAATAAGAGGAAAATGGATGAAATATAGATATTTTTTTCTTCGAACTCCGAAGACTATCCAGAGCACTATATAAAGAAATTAGTTCTGATTTTTGGAGTCCTTTGTGGAAAGATGCCCTTTTTACTTTCAAATCTACAGATCTTGCCGCACTACGGAAGAAATCTTGACTGCCGCGTCTGTTGTTACATATTTCCCCTCTGTTCAATTCTCATATCAATATGACTACTCATTTTTGCAAAATATATACTCTGAAAGCCGCGCTGCCGAGTAATACCTCAAAATCAATTCAAGAAATTTATATTTCTGCCCAGAAAATGATATATGGGTAAGAATTTTCGATTTTTCTCCGGAACTCCAAAATAATAAGTCAATATGGAAAATTGAAATCAATTAGGAATGACGTGATCGGAATATCATAATATTGAAAGCGGGGTCGGAGCCATGTTAATTTAAAAATAAAAGGAAATACTTTCTTTTTTTAATTGAATGAATACCTTTCTTGGTCATATATAAACATCAAGGAAAAACTTGTGTGATATCGGACAAACCAGGCCATAAATGAGGGGAATATCCCTCGAAATCTAACGGAAGAAGTTTGAAAGTTAGGAGACCTGACGCTCCAAAAATTTTAATAACCCACGAGTATCACCTATAAATGTGAGTAGTAAAGAGGTGGATAAAGTGCAAGAAAATCAGTGCCAAATTTTGGAGTTGACAGATATTTGATAGGTAGAATTGGAATCTTTGGCGTTAAATGAACTGAAGAAAATACTTTTCCCACCTCTTGGAAACTATGATCTCAATTTCAGGTAATTTTAAATGAGGTATAGAAATAATATATAGAAATGATTATGATGTGCTTTATTCTTTTGAGAAGATTAGATCAATCATCTCAAAAGAACAAAGCACATTGGTTAACTATTGAAAAGATTCATTAAGTCAACATGTATGCACCATCAAGAGAACAAAATTACAGATTGAGAGATTGAGTTTTTTCAGAAAGATTTGCTATTTCCATTTTAACTAGCCCATTATATAAGTAGGGTATTTCAATTAGAAACCTAATTTATTAAGGGGTTTTCGATAAAAATCAGCCTCTAAAAGTAAACAATGAAATATGGTAAAACATACGTAACATACGAGTAGCTTTCAAAAACTTAATTAGCCAAGATTAAAGTAGGTACCCTTATCTCAGAAAATGAAAAAGAGTTGATTAGAAAAGTTGTTCAGCATTAAAAAATGCATCTCGATTTGAAGTCATGTCCATCCAAGTGAAGTTTGATTCTTTAACAATTTTTCCAAATGGAACCTATAAAAAGTTTGCTAAAACGGTAAATAGACAACATCCTGTTCACAACGGTTTTTTCGAAAAGCCTGTAATTGACAAATTGCACAACTATTTTGTTCACCATGGTCAATTTTTTGTAGAGTGAAATAATTTTCAAAGTTTTCGATGCAAATCATTTTTATTTTTTGTTAACACTGAAAATTGCTCAAACTAATATAGTAGGTATTTGTGTATGTACTAGCAAATAATGTTAAAAGTTTGAACAAACATAAGTAAATCTAATACATGAAGATTTTTTTCTCGTTCAAGACGAGAGTATCGTCGAAACCCCATATTTTCAGCAGCTTGCTTTGTGAAATTTTGTATGTTGTTGATATTTATAAACAGCGATACATAACATAATTTGCTACTTGAACATCGTTAACATATATTATGTAAAACAGGAACCTTAGTAACTCCTGTGCGTCTGTACGATAAATGAAAGAGTATTCATATCAAATATTTTGGATGAAAGCAATCATTTTGAAAGAAGAATAATTCACTGAAATTTTTTTATGCTTTCAGAATATTTGAATTTGTCAGAAACACACCTGGTCACTCAATGTCTTTACAAAATATGTCATTTGTATTACTTTAAAATTGATCTAGTTACCTCAGTAAAAAATATTTTAGGTGAAATTTTATATCAACTCTTCATTCATCACGATATTTAGGAAACGTGAGTTTTTATTTCTCTATTGTATATGGAAGGTAAATCTGTGATTAAGCTAGAACATTTTTCATTCACATTTTTTTAAATTATTTTCATTGATATTCGTTGATTTTTTCTTATTTTGGAAGTTTCAATTTTTTTTCATTAACTGGAGGAAAATAACAATAATCTTTTCAGAAAATCCTTTGTTCATAAGCATGTTTTATTTTCAAAATCATAGAAGTGTTCTGTGGAAATAAATTTAAACTATACTTCAAACAAACTATATTTCAAACTCTGTCCAGAATTCATCTAAACCCTTCTGTATGTGGTAAAAGAATCTACCCTTCTCATTAGAAACATTAGAAACAGTTTCAACATGCTCCTGGAAAATTGGCATTGCATCCCTTTTACTTCCAAGGTACAGACTGAAAATTGACTTAAGACAAAGTTTTCTGTTAGTTCAAGGTACCCTGATCAGAAGTGAATTCTACTCCAAAAATGGTAATGAACCAATTGGAGAAGTAAGTGTTACAAAATATTCTACCGATCCAAGAGATTTAGTACCAGACGAGGAAAGTGTAAATAACAAGGGAATAACAAGTATCACCACTACACAAAAATTTGGTTATAAGGATACCCCTTCATTGAGATCGATTACTAATACAAAAAAGGTATTTATTATTTTCAAATATGATTCTGTTAAACAATATGATTGTTTTCAGGAGATAACAAGGGATAATTCGCAAGTCTCTAGTAAATCAAAAGTTACGAGAAAAAATTCGGTTAAAGAGCTTTCGCAAAGGTTTATTGACAATGCAGGTTGGTATCGCTTGTTTGTGTTATTTGTTTTTATATATAATATAATTGTAACATTTCTAGTGGAAACTTTGAAGAGTGAAAGGCAAACATCCTACCCAAAGGCAGGACTGATTTTGCGAACTTCCAGCTTCAAAGATAGAAACAGTGAATCAGATGACGAAGAAACTTCATCAGGTATGTGATTGAGTTCAGATAATATTTTTCTACTTTATCACTCAGTTTCAGTTTGTATTAAAGGCAATGAAAAATGCATGCTACTCTCTGACTTTATAAAATTTTGTAGTTCTCTGATATATAATTTCAAAATTATTATCTGAACTAATATAATGCAAATATAATCATTTGTTTGTTATCGATAATTAGTAATGAATGTTTACAAGTAAGGTACACGATACACTGATAATTCTTTTACTATCAGCTATATTATTCAAAAGTAACGTAGGCTAGTTTTTATCCAAATGTATCTCCTTGATCGGAGTCTACGCGTGTGAATTAGATGTATTCTGTAGTTCAAGCAGACGAAGTCGCAGGCAAAATCTATTGTTAATGAAGAGATTTCGTAATTATTTTGATTACACTGACCCGTTACTTGGTGAAAATTAATAACACATTGTAATATTTACAAAAATCTCCAATATACACTTCATTAGATACGCGTTCTACTACATAGGAGTTCCCTCAGTTGGAGACGTTCCGGAAATAAAGTGTATGTTGTTAAAATCGGTAATTATTATCATGAATTCATAATTATTGCAGTAAACTTTATGAACGTGCACTTTTCAGCACCAGGGTAGAGTGTATTAGTGTATAGTGATAGTATTATTGAAAATGAAATTTTGAAATTTCATTAGTTTCGTATTTTGTTTAGAGTTTCTTTTGAAATTGATTGCTTTCTTCCTGTCTTTAGAAGATTCCTACAATTTTTGAATTCTAAGACATGTAATTTTTTTGTGGATTATGATCTCCGATAATTTGAAACGAAGTTGATACAAAATCTATATAATTATAAATAGGAAAGACCATGCAGTTTCCTCGAGTATTATGTCTAGTAATAAAAAACATCAAATTGATCAGAAACTTATTCTAAATTTGCATACAACAATACAGTTACAGAAATAACAATGTATTCATTGTCGTTTTGGAAGGAGGAGCGTAAGCATTAGTCATTCACCGACTTCCTGATCTGATAGCCGTGCGCAAGGTGTTTTTATGTCCAAAATAACTGTTCCGTTCATCACATTCATTTACTGTTTAAAATGACAGAAAGAACAGATTAACGAATTTGCATCAAATTTTGCTTCAATTCCGGCACAAGTTATATGGAGACAACTGAAATGATACAATTCTGAACAACAATCTTCACAGTCAGCGTCCACTGCCGAAAAAAACACGTCAGTGTCATAAACATGTCATACCAATGCTGATAAATGTTTTCGATTGTAAGGGTCTTGTCCACTACCTACTAATTTGCTTCAAGAGGTCAGACGCACAACAAGGAATATTACGTAGAAGTTCTGAAAAAATTCCGTGACGTCGCGCCGTGAAAAGAAAACGACTGTGTTTCTGATCAAGCGGTGACTGACTGACTTTATCCACGATCACGCGCCAACTCATTCATCGAATCTTGTTCAGCAATTTCTGGCGATACATATAGATTGTACAACTTCACCAGCCTCTGTACAAAATTGATAGCTTCCTGCGATATTCGGATGTTCCCAAAATTAAAAATGGCACTCAAGAGAAAACGGTTCGACGACTTCGAGACGATCTAGAGTAATGCGACGCGCATTCCAAAATATACGCTCAGACTGCTTCAAGATGTGGAAGCACCTATAGAAGCGTGTGGTTGAATCAAATGGGACTACTTCAAAGGATGCCACGGCCCGAATAACGAAGAATACTCGTAGCAACAATGCGGAGATATGAAACGCATGTCGGATACTTTTCGGAGGATATGCCAACGATTCAACAATAGACCTATATAGGTTAGTACAAGAAATATAATTGTTCGAATGGTTTTCATGAAAAGAAGGAAGGAAAACGCAACCAGTCCAGAAGGATGCAAACATTTGAAAAATAAATGAATCACATTATTATCGAATTATTATCGAATCATTTGTTCTCAAAAATACGTACTCCTGTCGAAGTCATCTTCAATGAGCTTCTGTTGGTATCATTTGATACGAATTGAATTCAGTGTCAGAATAATCGATGGATGACTAACATCAAACATTGGGACTGCTTTTACATTAGAAGGAAATGGGTTTTCCTGAAACTCGAGCAAAATATGCAATTTGGTTTGTTTGAAGGTGATTGACAATGTTTCGTGATGAATTTCACTAGTTCGGACTTCCATTGTCTATTATATAAAATGATTTGAAATCCCTGAAACAAGTAAAAAAGAATGATTAAAAAGGATAGTTGAAAATAACAATTATATTTGATGATGAATAA